ACACACACACACACATACACACACACACACACACACACACAGATACACACTTGAGTATTATTCAGCCATGAGAAAGAATACCCTGACAGGTGCAATAACATGTATAAACCTGTAGAGTATTATGCTAAGAGAAATAAGACAGACAGAGAAAGATAAATACTGCATGCTATCACTTCTATGTGGAATCTAAATTAAACAAAAAAAGAGTCAAACTCACAGAATCAGGGTAGAATGGTGGTTGTTAGGGGCTGGGCCTGGGAGTAATAGGTAAAGTTGGTAAAAGAATATAAACTTTCAGTTATGAGATGAAAAAGGTCTGAGGATCTAATGTATAACATGGTGACTATAGTTCATAACACTGTATTATAAAATTGAAATTTTTTAAGAGAGCAGAACTTAAGTGCTTTCATCCTGCCTTGTCCAAAAATGTAAAGATGTGAGGTAATGGATGTGTTGATTAACTCAATGATAGGAATCCTCTCACAATGTATACATATAACAAAGTATCATGCTGTACATTTTAAATATGTTACAAATTATTTGTCAAATATACTTCGATTAAAAAAGAAATTTCAGGTGGCATCTGACTCTAGCTAAGTTAACTTCCTTTGCTAGAATAAATCAACACTCATCATAGGAAACTACTAAGAATGTAGAGGCTCTACAATATACCACTTACAATATCCAGGATACAGAAAACAATTAACACATATATAAAGTAACAGGAAAGTTTGAACCAGAGTAAAGAGAAAAGCAGTCAGTAGAAATTGACTCTGGCTCAATATGGCTAAAATGTAAGAATTAGTGGCCTTTTGAACAGTTATTACAGATATATTCAAGGACTTAAAAATATATGGTAAGGGGTGTCTGGGTGGCTCAGTCAGGCTCTCTGCCGTCACTGCAGAGCCTGCTTTGGATCCTCTGTCCCCCTCTCTATCTGCCTCTCCAGTGCTTACTCTCCCTCTTTCTCTCTCAAAAATAAAATAAACATAAAAAAAATACGGTAAAACAGGCATAAAAATATTAATTGGATTAAATGAGATAATACAAATAACGTACTTAGTATATTACCAGCTAAATAATAGACACTAGGTAAATGATAGCTTTATTATATTATTGGTAGTAATAGTAGTAATGACAAGAATACCATACCTACCACTGACCTGACAATTGTCTTGGGAAGAAAGGAAGCTTTCATGTACCAAGTGATTAAGTCACTTAGAAAATGATTTAGGGTATTATATTAATTGACTGGTGATGACATTCCTATTATTTATTTTAACATACGTTTTATTTCTATAATGTTACATACAGCATCAAAGTAGATGCTTGACATTTTGGAATTCTTAAAAGAAGAAAACTAGAAACTACTAGAGAAAACTGGAATCTTTCCAGAAAATAATGAATTATAAAGCAAAGTTACCTGCAGAGAGCATGGTGAGCAGATAATGTAATTACCAGTTGGAAGTGCTACTCATGGCAGGGGACTGAGAGAAACTCAGGGAGTGCTAAAGGGACAAGCAGTAGAAAACAGTAGTAGAGGTTTCTGGTAAAGAATTGGGAAGAGCGATTGGAACAGGGAAAAAGGAATTCATAAATGTCTTCTTCATCACACTTACTTCTTTGCTGTTCTTGCATATTGCACTTGCATGCAATATGAAACAAATTTGTACTTTGTCTTTTAGGACCAAAAAAGAAGTCTACTCATTCTACTACACATATGCTACATAGCGAAATAGTTAAAAACTGTAACTGGGGAAAATTTTCTAAACAATTGAGTAAGCATGGTTATAGTATATATACAGATAAATTGCACTGGATAATTATCTGGACAGTGAAAAGTAAAAGCAATTTCTATTGAGATAGAAATTGTTATCTGGAAGTTAGAATAAATGCATGTATGTGATCATTATACCAGTGATATGATTACTCAATAATTTCACAAAAGTCTCCATCAATCTCTGCCTGCATCAACAGAAGCTATAAGCAAGATGGCTTTATTATAGTATTTAGGAGTAGCCTGTATGAAAAAGAAATATTAACAAGGCATTTAGATAGCTAAAGGGTGATTTAAAATTATAACAGCTTTTAAAAAATCAGTTTACT